AAAGAGGGCGTAACTGCAAAACAGCGCAGATCAAAACATAACCATTTAAGCAAAATAGTGTTTCACCACAAGATAATCCTGACATAAAAGTAGTTACCATATTGTCTCTTTCCTTGAAATCTTTGAGTATAACTTCATATACTGTAGCATCAAATATATCAAAAACAATGTAAAACCATTTAAGAGAATGACAGTATTACAGGGTATTTAGAATCAACTAACAGAAAATGAACAAAAGTTTCTGTATAATCTCCTTGTCTATAAAAGGTTTTGCTTATACTATCATATATAATAAAATCCAATAAGATACAACCTGTTTAGACCAATGGAGACAGAAGAACAAAAGCTTGATGAGACTTCAAAACAAGATGATACTAAATCAGTATTAGACGACATTTTCTCCAAAATAGCTGTTCCTATCATCCAATCTTCTCTGCTCCATTTCTGTTGAGCTCTTTTTCTGTCATTAGTTGTCAGTTTGTCTTCTTCATTTTGTTTTCTGCTCCATTTATTGTGGCCTCTCTGCCGCTATTTCTGGATTCTTTGTATTTTTCTTTTTTAGAATATCCTGCAGTATTCTCTGTAGAGATGAATTGGTGGTTGCATATTCCCCTAGTTCCTCTTTATCCTGGAAGCACCTTGTTTTTCCATCAATTTCCAGGGATAGTTGTGCAGGATATATCAATCTTGGCTGGAAATTATTATCTTTCAAAGCTTGAATTATTTCCCCCCATGCTCTTCGTGATTTGATGGTTTGTGCCAAGAAGTCTGCTGTAATTCTGATGGGTGTTCCCCTGTAAGTGATCTGTTTCTTGTCTCTGACGGCTTTTAATATTCTGTTCTTGTATTAGATTTCTGGAATTTTAATTATTATATGCCTGGGTTTTTCTCTGTTTGGGTTGTAGGTGGCTGGGGTCCTGTATGCTTTATACAACTGAGTATCTTTACCTTTTGCTAAATTAGGAAAATTCTCCTGGATTATTTCTGTGAGTAGCTTTTGTAGTTCATTTGTTTGTGTCCCTACTTCTTCTTTTATGTTCTTAATTCTTAAGTTATAGAATCTTATCATCTTCTAGTCTTTGTATTATCATCTTCTAGTCTTTGTATTATTGCTGTTTGTTTCTTTGTTATTTTTGAGAAGTTTTTCATTTCATGCCCCCATATTACAAATCTGCCCTCCAGTTCAGATAATCTGTCCTTAGTTTCTTTCAAGCTGTTATTCCAGTTTTTGATAGAGTTTTTAGTTTCCTGGTAATCTCTTTGAACCTGCTTCACGTATTCTATGCTTTCTCCATTTTCTCCATTAAACAATTCCCCTCTTTTTCTGTTCTTCCATTCCACCATCTGTTTTTTTCTTGGGTGGTGCTTAGCATTTCTCTAACTATTCTGCTTATGTCTAGCTTCAGGTCATTAATAACTTCATTCCTGAACTTGTCTATGAGGCTCTGGAGATAGCACTTTATATCTATTGGTGCTGTGTCTGCTATTGCCTCTTTCTCAGGATTGGGGGCCGAGGAGCCTTTCTTGTTGCTGCCTCTTCCCATATTCTTTGTTCCTTATATATGCAAGCGTATATAGGAGGCCCAGCTTCCTTCCCTGTCAGCCACAGTCTGATTGAATTGCGCCGGCTAGGTGTTCCTGCCCACCGAAGCACACCAGGAAGTTGCAGACCAGGCAGCCTATGTGGGACCCGCCCCTCCAGGTCAATCTACCTTCAGGTGCTGGGACCTGGGCTGTGCTAGCCTACTGGGTCTCAGCCAGCAGCGTCACGTAGGCTAGGCACTGCTCACCAATCCCGCTTGAGAGGGGGATCCGTGGCTGAAGTCACTGCAGCACCCTGTTCCCGCAAGTCTGCCCGGTCCCAGAATGTCCTTTGTTGGAGTCTGCTAGACAGTGGAAGAATCCCAGTTTCTCTCACTCACCGCAGGTCGATGCACAGCTCCCCGCCCGTCCTGCTTTCAACTCCGTTCACCGATTCCCGTTCTCAGAGCTTTCGTGCGTCTCTCTCCCTGCCAAGCCGATGTAGACTCAGCAGCGCCGGCGGGAAACCAAATCACGGCTTCCAATGGCGCGGGCTCCAACTTCCACACTGAGGCTTTTCTGTTCCTGTTATAGCATCAGGATTGCATTCCCAGTTGGTTTCTCTCAGCCCAGTTTGTTCTTGGGTCAGCGGGGCATATCTCCACTTGCTTATGATTCCTTACTCCACACCATTCTTGAATTCTAAGCTGGGTCTTTCAGAGAGCCTCCGTACCTGCTGCTATCTGTCTGCCATGTTCTCCTGGAAGTCCCCTGGTTTTTCTTCTAACAGATACTTGATTAGCCAGTGTGGTACAAAGATGTGCATACAGTTGTCTCTCAGTGTCTGGAGCTTGGTTCTGGGGCCCACAAACACCCAAATGTGTGGACCCTCCCTTATGTAAAATGTCATAGCATTTACATATAAACTACACACATTCTCTCATACTATTTACATTAATCCTTAGACAATTTATAATACAGAGCGCAATGTAACTACTAGGTGCACAGTTGTTATGCTATGTTGTTTAGGGAAATCAGACTAGAAAAGTCTGTGTACATGTTCAACATAGACACAGTTTTCTCTGAATATTTTTAACTTATGTATATGGGCCCCTGACTTCGGGTGTGTGTCTGTGTAGAAAGAGAAAGAAAGAGAGAAGGAGAGAAACAGAAAGATTTATCTTGAGAAATTGGGTAACGCAGCTGGAGAAGCCTGGTGAGTCCAGGGCCTGGTAGAATAGTTTGGAACTCAGGGAGGAACTATTGTCTGAGTCTATAGGCGTCTGATGACAAGAATTTCTTCTTGTTCAGAGGAGGCCAGTCTTCATTTGCTTAAGGCCTTTGACCTTGGACAAGGCCTGCCCACTTTTAGAAGGTAATCTGCTTTACTCAGAGCCCACCATTTTAAATGTTAACCCCATTAAAAAAAAGAAGGAAAAAACATTTTCAGATAAACATCCAGAATATGATTTGACTGACTAGAAACTAGCTCAGTCACACTGGCATATTAAATTAACCTTTAAGGAAATGCCCTACTTTAAACTTTTTTTTAAAATCTGAGCTTGTGATTAATTTTATCAAGCAATATTTTCATACCATTGTTCTGATTCGTCCATACATTATTAAAATTTTTGTAAGTTTTCTAATGTATATCATTCTTGCATTTTTTTACATAAGTCCAACTTGATCATAAAACAAATCCCCACAGCTCATCTTTTGCTTTTCATTCCCGCTGCCACATCTACATGGAGCAGAGGCCTGGCACTGGTGGCTGTTTCCTGTCTCTGCCTGTCCCTTCTGGGCACGGTCAGGTGGGCCCAGTTGTATGACCTGCTTAGGAGCCATGGGCTTGGGCCTGACCCCTGCTGGGTACGGCCTGTGTTCAAATCAGAGTGCCTCTGGCAGGACCTCCTGGTACTGGGTGAGTCAGGGCCCTCAGGTAGCAGCAGGAGGGGAAAATACACAAGCACTCGCAAGCCAAGTATGGCCAGGATCTCAGCCCAGCCTACTCTGGGGTCACATAGAACCCTGCTTAACCCTCTTTGGCATCAGTAAGTTCCCCAAGTGGAAAGAGCTCATTTTCCCCTGTCCTTACTCCCCCACCCCCACCCCTGTCATCTCCAGAACTTGGGTGCCTGGAGTTGACCAAACCCCAAGGCTGAGGACACATGTTAGACTGCCAGGTTTTTGCAGGATTCTGGGCCCCTGCCTTGAGGACCACCAACTGCACAGTCCAAGGGGATCAGGCTGCCTTCACTACAGACCAGATGGCTACAAATCTAGAGGCCTCTAGACCCCCCCTTGGATTCTATAGTTTCTAGATGACTCACAGGATTCAGTCTCCAAAAAATCATTGAACCTAGGGTTACAGTGTTCTTATAGCCAAAAGTCACAAATTAAAATTAGCCAGCGGGAGAGATGTTCAGGACAGAGCCTGGGTAAGACCCACACATGGAACCCTGGGCCTCCTTTCCTGGTGAAGTCCTGGATACTGTCACCTCCTCCCAGCCACAGGAACCACAGTTCATGCAGAATAGTGCCAGCCCTTGAATAGATTTTCCTGGGGCTTGTCAGGTGCTGTCCACACGGCTGACCTTCAGTCTCTAGCCCCTTCAGTCTCTAACCCCTCCTCAGGCTAACACTTATAGTCTCCAGTTCTTCCATCCAGTCAAGGATCCAAGGAAACAAAGATACTTCTTCCAAACAGGACATTCTATGGCCCAGAGATCACCTCTCTATAGTCAAGAGCAAAGGTCAGACCTGTGTTTAGGTAAGATGAATCCTTCATTGCAAGAGGTGCATGCTGCAAAGTCAGGCCAAAGGTTTGGGGTGGTACAGGGCTTACAAGTCTGGGGGCTGATCTTGAAAGCCTCCACTTCCAGGCCTGCCTTTGCCATTTTCAGGTCTAGTGATCTTGAGCAAGTTGCTTAGTGGGTCGATGCCCTCCAGTGAAAGGCCACAGGAACCTCCTTGGTACTTGAATGAATGAGAGTTTGTTGGTACTAAGGAGACAGTGCATCACAGGGAATGTAAGAGGGTGGCTCAGAGGAGGCTTACGGAAGGACTGGGCTTGGGAAAGGTAATCTGAGGGAGCGCTCAGGAAGCAAAGTTTTGCCTGGATTGGGTGCTGTTGGGAAGTAGCAATGATTTCACGAAAGATGTCTTTGTAACTTTTCTAGGAGGCAGAGGAACAAGATTGTGCTGAAAGCCAAATACATACAGAAGCAGAGAAAGAAAAATCCTGAGCAAAGGGAGATCAGAGGATAATGAGGTGATCTTGAGCCTAGATCTGTTGTGAACCCTTCACTGTGACACCCACATCAGGCCAGGGCAGCCATAGTTGGTGCATGTGTGTGTGTATGTGTGTGTGTGTGTGCCTTTGAGTGTGAGAAGCAAAGTACCCAAGTGATGCCCATGATGCCTATAAGGAATTATACGCTATGGTTCCAGGAAGGCAAGAGCAATTAATGCAGAGTACATTAATATAATACAGGACAAAAGCCCCACTATTATCTTAATAGACACAACACACACCCACAATCATCTGACAAAATTCAATAGTTGCATAGGAAAAAAAAGAAAGAAACTCAAAACACTCAACAAACTGAATAGAAGGGGACTTCCTAAATCTGATAAAGAACATAGAAGACAAAGCCAGAACCAAAGGAGAAAAGATTAACACATTCCTCTATCAGGAACAAGACACTCAGGTCTGCACAATCAGCACTGGGCTAGAGATTCTAGTAAGGGGAACCAGGCCAGAAGAAAGAGAAACAGAAAGCATTAAAGTAAAAAGAAAAAAGGAAATCACCTCTATGTGCAGATGACACGTTCTATATGTACAAAGTTCTAAGGAATCCACCAATACAGAATTAGAGCTAATAAACAAGCAAGATTTTGGAACACAAAATCAAAATAGAAAAATAAACTGTGCTGGGCCCTGGGATGTAGCTCAGCGCACAGCACCTGGCTGGTAAGCACAAGGTCCTGAGTGTCAATTCCCGGTATCAAAACAAGTGAAAAAATTCCCCCAAATTAAACAGAATTTTAAAAACTGTGCTTCTATGCAATACCAGTGAATTACCTGAAAATGAAATTAATAATTCCATTTGCAACACCATAACAATAAAATATTTAAGAATATCCAGGTATGGTAGTGCATATCTGTAATCTCAGCAGTCAGGAGGCTGAGGCAGGAAGACTGCAAATTCAAGTCCAGCCTGTACTACATAGTGAGACCTTGTCTCAAGGAAAAAAAATACTGAGGAATAAATTTATAAAAGTATAAGACTTGTACAGTGAAAGACAGAAGAAAAGAGAGTGTGACTCCTGGTACCTGAAACCACCTCAAATCCATTCTGCTCAAGTATGAAAGCAGTTACTTGTGAAGACTTATCTAATATGACCAGTTGCTCTTCCCTCTCCACCACTGGAGATTGAACTCAGGCTCTTTGCATTGAGTGAATCACCCTTTGATTGCTTGATTATTTGATTGACTGATTGATTGACAAGAGTCTCACTAATCACTAAATTGCAGTCTTCCTGCCTTAGCTTTCCAGGGCGCTTGGATTACAGGTGTGCACCTCCATACCCGGCTAAAATGCTAGCCAGAGGACGAGTTTAGTTCCAACCCTCGAGCCAGCTATGAACCTCAGGGCAAGCATCAGGGCAGTAAGATGAGCTAAAAAGGTGGCCCAGGCTGGGAGAGCTGGAGAACAGGAGCTAAGAAGGGCTCTCACTAAGAAGGGTCCAGCAGCAGGTAGTCAGGCCCCAGGCCCGCAGGATCTTGGGACCCCTGAGCAACCTTACACCTGGGCCCCTTGACGCCCAGACTCTGGGGCCCTGTGCTTCAGGGCCATCCTCAGGGCCTTCAGGATGGTGCCCTGGCTGTTCCGCAGGTTGTAGTCATTCAGCTGTAGCAGGCGGTCAAAGTCTTCCTCTGAGTAGGTCATGTTGTGCAGGAAATAGGGCGTGGTGGTCTTGTTGAGGTCCACCTGACCAGCCTGGAGCTCTGTGGGGCTGCGCGGGACACCTGTGCAGGGGTGAACAGGGTCAGGAGCAGGCCCAGAGGCCTCCACCACTGGACTAAACTTTGCACTGGGGGGAGGTGGGGCCACTCTCCATGGAAGGCTTCTTGCTTTCCTCCCAGCTCTCGATGCCCTGTGCCCACAAACACTCGTGTGGGTGGCAGAGTGTTATTATGGGATAGTGGGCCTTTTCTGCTGCCACACTCTGGGGAGCATGACACTTGTCCTGCCATCCTAACTGAGCACCCCTGGGTAAGGTGGAAACAGCCAGGAGAAAGGCCACTGGGCTAGTACATGGTTCCCAAAGCTCAGGGTAGAAACAAGGGAACTTTGGCTCTCCAGGCTGTGGGCCTGGCCTTAAACCTTCCCTGGGCAGTTGGGGAGAGGCTGCCTCACCAGGGGCGGAGTGATCCTTGAAGGAGACATTGACCAGGGGGAGGCAGAGCAGGACAGGGGCCTCCGGGCAGGTGGGGTCCGAGAACAGGTAGCACTCCCCAGGCTGGCGGTGGTCCTCAGCACTGGCCTCCACATGGGGGAAGGGCAGCCCCTGGGTCCTGCAGTACAGCTCAGCCTGCTGCAGTGCCTGGCAGGGCAGAGAAAGCACAGTCACCCCAAATCTTTACTCTAGAGAATGCCTGCTTATGCCCTCAGCATCTAGACAGCAGGCTGGTTCTGTGCTGGACTGTCACGGGGCACATCTGAGGATCCCAGGAGGTAAAACCTTTAGGTGGGCTGCAAACCCAACTTGCTCTCCCCACTTGTGGTCATCAATGGATGATTCAAGTCCTCAAGCTTAGAGGACCTTAGTAGAGGACCGAAGTGTCCACCCCAGCATTGCTCCACCCAGAGTCCCCAGTAGTCTGCAGGGTAAGGGGGTGGTCGGATTGGAAATCCCAGAGGCCTCTCCCACATGGCGCAGTGGCTCCTCTGTAAGGGTAGGTGTGTTGAACTCCATCCTGTTCTCTTGGGGCCTAGAACCCCAGCACCACCCTGTCATTCTCCTCCCTTGGGGACATGGGAAGTGTAGGCTGTGGGTCAGGGGTCTGTTGCTTGTCCCCAAAGCCTGGTCTGACTAGGCAGAGGTCTGGGGTTCCCATGGGACAGCCTGGACACCTCAAAGTGTGAAGACAGGGAGTAGCCAAAGTAGAGGATGAGGTCCAGCCTGCGGCCTGGCTGGAACATGGAGGGATAGCTGTTGTTCATTAAGTAACCGGTGTCCACCAGGCAGAGCTGGGGCTCCTGGGGGGTCAGCTGGCTAGGAGTGGAGTCCAACTGGCAGTCTGGCAAGAGAGGTAGAGATAATCAGAGGCAGCCATCTGCCATGGGTGGCCCACCCATCCTCTCTGGCCACATTCACCTCTACATCCCTTTTGTACCTCTGCCACTCCTTGGTGCCCGGTCCCTCCCCAAGCCCTCCCAATGGGATCTTTTCCAGACCTCCCTCCAGATATGGATGCTATGGCCCCTGAGGCCTCTGCAGGTCAACCATCATGGCCCACACCCATCTGGGAGTCCAGAGTTCCACTGGGGGCACAGGACCATAGTTCTTACCCGCCCAAGTAGAGAAGTCTTTCTGGCCATAGTACCCCTGGTGTAACTGGAGGCCGTGGAGGAAGTTGGCACCATGGTGGCACAGCGGCCTCCTTGTCAGGAACCCCTTGAATGCTCGTGCCAGGGCCGTTCCAGGCTGCAGCCAGGACTCCACCAGTGAAGAGGTCCTCATGCAATCCCCTGGCTCCTTGTCTATGACCAGAGAAACAGGCAATGCTCCAGCAAGAGGCCCAGAAATGCCAGCCCTTCTCCCCCCTCCACCCCAGGGACCCTCTCTCACCTGTGTTATGTATCTCGTCCTTGACATGCTGTGTCCATTTCTCATGAGACCAGGTGAGGTTACACCAGGCATCCATCACGTTTATGGAGAAAATGTTGCTCCAGATACCTGAAGCCAACCCCAGAAGAGGGCAGCCCTCAGGCCCCAGAGCCCTGCCTCCTCATCCCTGGAAGCCGAAGGCCCTCACACCTGGTGCTGATGGGAAATGCCAGCAGGGGAAAAAGCCCTTCCCACAATGGCTCCTCTTCACCACCCAGTCTCTCCCCTCTCCTCTGCCCAGACCCAGCTACAGAGATCAGGTCCAGGAAGCCATTTGGCCAGTGCCTCCAGAGTAAGTGCTCTCACCTTCCAGAAAGCAGATCCGAGATTCAGGGAGTCTCCTCATCAGTCGCCCCATGAAGAACTCAGAGCCAAAGAGCTCAGGAGGCACAAAAGCTCCGTACTTCAGGAACCCGACCTCATAAGGGGAGAATTCGACCCACTCTGTTGGGGTAAGAAGGAGAGGCAGGGAAGGGTTGGGGAGAGTGGGCTGGAGGAGTCACATCATTAGCAAGGGCCAAAGATACTGCCTCCCATCCTGGGCAGGTCTCAGCCTCCCCACTGCCCAGTACCAACTCAGCAGACTGAGGAAAACAGACCCCTGGTTGACCACTCTCCACCAACCCAGTCCATAAGCTTCAGTGCCCAGTCCAAGGACACAGTGCTGCTGGGGCTGGCCCTGGGCCCATCAGTACCATTTTGGGGCAATCTATACAGTCATTCCAGCCTTGGCTTCTGTGGAGAGCTGGGGGTGGGGAGATGGGGAACAGGCCTGAGGCGCATGTGTACTGGAGGACAGAGTGGATAGGACCATACCCTTGAAGTGGAGGGTGTCCACAGTGTCCTCTTTGACATTAAGGCTCAAGTAGAGGGGCAGAGGGTTCTGACCCCGCGCCAGTGCATCTCTCTGTCCTGACAGCGTCTGATCCATCACCTAGCATCAGAGGGATGAGAGCCAAAGTGAGGTGCGGTGGCAGCTCCACAGGAAAGGAACAGTGCAGGAGAACATGTTGGGGATGAGGAGGCAGCAGCCCTCTGGGTTCTGGGAGTTGGGATGTGGAGGCACTTCTGCCCAGGCCCCTCTGCAGGGTCGCCACTTGGGGCTATACAAGTTGTGGACTACACAGCTTGCATCACACACATTGATGGTCCCTTTTCCTGCATCCTGGGCTTTCAGAGCCCACCTCTTTGGGTTTAAGGGTGGAGTGGATGAGGTTAGTGGCACCCAGTGCAGGCACATGTACAAGGACATACACATGCACATTTCTTTCCAGAAAGCACACATAGTCCCCTTTTAGCTAACTCAGGAGATGGCTGAGCTAGACTCCAAGGATGTACACTTGCTTGGTCATCAGGTAACCAGGAAGATTTTTTTAAAAGACTAATTCCAAAGCAATTTCTAATAGACTGAGTCTGAGTAGAGAGGAAGACATGTGTATATTTAGCCAAATTCCTGCTTGCTAAGTAAATCAGCTGGTAAGGGCTGCTGTGGGAGGTTGGGAGTCCCCTAGGGACTCTTGTAGCCCAAAAAGCCGAAGACAAGGCTGACACATTTCTGGCACATGTAATGCCCTGTCCCAAACCATGTGAGGCTGATTGCCTGGGCCTTCTTGCTGAGAACAGCTACAGGCTGCAAGCAGCCCCTCATTCAGCTAACCAGAGCTGGAGGGAAGCTCTGTGCTCCTCTGATCCAGGATGACCTGAAGCTTTCTGTGCCCTTAGAATGCAGGGAACCACTGTAGACCCCAGAGTTTTAGTGAAGAGAAAATGAAGAATAGATGGCAGAATAAACCACAAGATGCAACCTCATATTGAATGCAGCAAGGGGAGCAACAAAAAAGCACTCAGGAGGGGCAGAGACATGAACTGTATCAATGGGAACCTAGGGCAGCCAGTCCCGTGCAATGGAACAGAGAGCTCAAGAAGAGCCCTGGGGGCACAGGAACCTGATCCAAGGTGAGTAATGCAACAGGGAGACAAAAGAAATTCACAAACAAGACTGGAAAAGTCCCTACCTGTATATGAGGAAAGAAAGCATCCCAGGAAACAGCCTCCAAAAATTGACCCCTAGCCATATGAGACTTAAATTCTGGTGCATTCAAGCCCCAGTTGTAAGAAACAAAGTTTTAAAGCTTATGTTAGAATATAGAGAAGGATTTTATAACTTGGGGGAAGGAAAAGGAAAACACTTCAAACATACAACATAAAAGAGAAAATGATAATAAGACTGTTGAGTTATGCATCAAGAGGGTCACAGCTGGTAAAATGTTAAATGCAGACTATGTAAAAATTCTAAAAAGAACTGTAAAAAAAAAACCAAACTAAATAGAAAATTGGGAAAGAACTTAAGTAGGTAATTCATGGAAGAGGATCCCAAATGATAAATATACTTGAAACTATAACATCTCAGTAAAATTCAAGGAAACAGAAAACTACAATGGACTTTCATATCTATAGATGAAAATACAAATCTGCAGAAGATGTAGTGAAAGAAATATTACACATCACCAGGTGTGATGAGGCATGCCTGTCATCCCAGCACTCAGGAGGCTGAGGCAGGAGGAGTGTTGCAAGTTCAAGTCCAGCCTGGGCTACAAAGTGAGTTCCAGGCCAGCCTGAACTGCATAGTGAAACCCTGTCTCATAAAGACAAAGAAGTTTTTGCACACTGGTAATGGGACTGTGAATTAACACTATTGCTTTGGAAAACAATTTGATAGTAGCTAGAAAAGACACGGTACAGATCCAGAAGCCCAACAGTTCAACTCCTGAATGTAAATATCAGAGGCGTGACAAGCCTCTAACACATATGTACAATGAGACTTGTGCACAAGCATTCTTGCAAGTAATATTTTTCTTAAAGGTACAGATATTAAATCATATGAAATAAATATCCATGTAATAAAGGTGTATAAAGTACATTATATGGAATTATGTGTGACATAGAATAGAACAGTGCATAGATTGTAGATATTCGTGTGATGGATGATGTGGAAGCTCTGAGGTCAGGAAGAAAAGCAGGCTGGAGAGAAAACACAGTGAGGGGTTTCCGCTGAGAGTGTCTGGTGAAGTCATGCATATTTATTACATTGGTATTTATGGTTCACGCATTTTTTTTAGGTGTGAAGATTTTAATAATGTTTAATAATAAATATTGATATTTGCATAAGTATTGCTAACCTAATAAAAATAAAAGTGATACTATGCTTGCCAGTGAAAATAAAAGTTTTAAAAATTTGAGGAGAAATGGAGCAGGGACAAAGGGATGAAAAAAAGAATGAAAATGTGTTGTGTACATGTACCAGCTCCCCATGAGAAATGTGATCATAATCATGTACTAGTAAAAATAACAACCTCCAAAATTCGAGGAGACATTATTTCTTTCTTCTGCTATTAATAAATTTGATTTTAAAAAATAGTACTGGAGATGGAACCCAGGGCCTTGTTCACGCTAGGAAAGCCACCTCCTCAGCCAGACAGTTTACATGTATTTTGCAAGCTAAACATACTTTTTTGTCTTTCTGTTGTTTCAGATGCTTTTGAAACTTTATTCAGATGGTTACCAGTGGAAGAATCACTCAATTTTAACAGTTGTATCAGTTAGTGTAAGATCCCACAGTTAACTTACTAAACTCTCCATGAAGAACCATTGCAGTAAACACGTCTGTGCTCCATGTTGTCGCGCAGATGAATCCAAGGCACAGAGATTAAGAAGGGACACACAACGAGTAAAATGCACAGGAATGGGAACCCAGGAACTCTGTTTCTAAAATCTGGGCTTTTAATACAACACTGAAGATAATAATAACATTTTATACTGCAGTATAAATAAAAGCCGTTCTAGAAATCTCAATGCAAGAGCTTTATCTCACTGACTAATACTGACTTATCCCCAGATCTTGGGAGATTCACGAATTTCTGTTAATAGCAATTAACCAAAGAGCTGCCGACCTCAGAAAGGCAGTGTCGCAAGGATGGCAAAACTCAGTGGGTCCCACGGCCTTCAAGGCTCCGCCCCTCCACCTTCCTGGGAGGCTTCCCGCGCAGGCGCAGTACCTGACCATGCAGGGCGAACTCCAGCAAAAGGGCCCAGAGATCCACCGCTGTGGTGGGGAGCCCCTGGGAGGCCCGTAGTTGCAGCTCCCGCCGGTAGCTTGCGAGATGCTCGGGAGAGAAAGCTCTCATCTTGCTCTTGGCCAGATGCTCCCTGATGTGGCTAATGGGTCCATGGAGGTCCTTCTGCGACCACTCTGGGTCACAGTACAGGTGAGCCATTGTCCTGGGGTAGGAAGAGGAGAGGGTTGGTGGAGGCTGTCCTGTGACTGCGCCTTCCCACAGGCAGCTTCTCCCCAGACAGGGGTCCTGCTGCCAGGACTGCATTTGTCCTGGAACCGTGTGGAGCTCTCTTTTGCCCATCCCTGCTGTCCAGTAGTAGGGTGTGACCTGCATAGGTAATTTTCATTTTCTTTACTTTTTTTTTTGGCGGCGGTGATAACCAAGTCCTGGCTCAGGGATCAAGACCTTGCTCATGCTAGACGGGTGCTCTAGTCCTGAGCTATAGCTCTAGCCCCAAATGGAATTTTCTATTTCCCAGTAGCCACAATAAAAAAGTTTAAAGAAATCAGTGAGAATTAACTTTAATAATATATTGCATTTAATTCAAGACATCAAAAATACCATTTTGACATATAATCCCTAGAAGTATTGTTGTAATTTGGTGTCTTTCAAGCTAAAATTTCAAATATATGTTTATAACACAATTTGGATGGACCTCATTTTAAGGAGTCAGTAGCCACTGTGAGTGGTGGCCACCCTACTGGACAGCACTAAATCTTACCCCCATCTTCATGGGCCTGTCCTGAAGTTCTCATGACTCTGCTAGCCAGCTGCTGTCACCTAAACATCTCTGAGGATTCAATTCTCTTTCACACTTTACTGTAACATTTCAGTGAGACTCAAAGGAACAAATCTTTCATAGTGAAATGGCCCACCTCATCATATGCAATGCTAAAATGGTAACTCTTGACCTCAGTTTCCTCTGTACTTTATAAGCAAGAAGAGAACCACCTCAGGAACTATTTGAGCACTAACCATGGGAATAACTATGGCAGAAAAAAGGGCTACCAGTCTGGAGCACTTTGTTAGTGCCAGTTGTTAGTTAAATGCTGACATGGGCTGTTCCATGCCTGCCCTGCGCTCACTCACTGTGGAGAAAGGCCCACTGAGACTCAGGGGAGAAGGTTACTAAGGTCACCCAAGCCTAAGTGGTGTTGTGAGACCAAGCCTAACTCCCTTTGGACCACTCACCTTCAGGCCCTCAGTAATGTCAGGAAAGAGACCACCTGCCACCATTCCTGGCAGCAATTCTGTTTCTGTTTTCTGTTTTAAGAAAATGCCTGCTCACACCTTTGTGATATTCCCATATGCAGGCTCCCCTGGTGTCCGTCCTGCTCCCCACCAGGCCCCGGTCATCTCTGCTGTCCCAGTCCCCATAGCACTTACCATGTAGCACCCGAGATACCACTCAGGTAGGTCACACAGTCCAGGAGGCCCAGCTTTTGCAGGGCCAGTAGGTGTCCAAAGAGTGAGGTCATGGCCCGAGCACCTCCTCCTTCAGCCATGATGCCCACAACAGGGACCTGGACCACACAGATACAGGCTGGTTCAGGGACGGAGACCCCAAGCAGCATCCTACTCTGTGCCTCTAGCCCAAGAGCCTTGAGATCAGGTCCTGATATGGTCAGGTACATCCCTCAGCCCAAGTCAGAGCCCCAAGGGACCAAGAACCCCAAGTGTACCTACTTGCCCCTTCTCTCCCTTCCCACCCCATTTTCCATTGCCTGGGGTGTCTGAGGAGGGTACGGGAATCAGGGAGCTTCACAAGGTCAATCTGGGGTATCTGGACCCACATCCCTCATGTTCTCCCAGACCTCATCTTCCTGTAGGTCTCTGTCCAGCTGCAGAGCCTGCTTCAGGGCCTTGGCCACCACCTGCTTCCTCCTGCTCAGGAAGGCCTGCTCTTCTGCACAGAGATCAAAGCCCAGGCGCACGGCCATCTCCTTAGGGCTGGGACAGAAGAGGACCCAAGAGTCAGGGGGCGCCTGCATGGCTCACTGGCTGACCAAGCCTGCAGGGAGCTGCCAAATTACCTCCTTGATCCAACCCCAAGAGCCACCTGTGTCGCAGAATTCCCCTTCTATAACAACTCCCCACTGTTCCCACAGATACAAATGTCCCTTACCAGCTATCTGCCTTGAGCTTCAGCCTCACTCCTGAGTCCTAAAATCAGAGCAAGAAACCATGCTCAGGATGTCCTAATCCTGGGGGACATGGATGTCCCCTGGAGACAAGTCTGTCTTTATTTCCACAGTACTTCCCTACAGTCAAGGCCACTTACATCTGTAGCAGGAACACTAATGGTCACCTCTTTTCCCCTGGCCAAAGACCTCAGGGGCACAGTGAAGTGCCCAACTGAGTTGTTCGAGTGCCAACCATTGCTTCTGGAGCTCTGGAAGAAAACATTCATTCTTTCATTCATTCAGCAAGTGTTGGCCAGGGATATAGCTCAGCAGCATGTGTGCCTGCCTGGCAAGCACAAGGTCCTAAGTTCCATTCCTAATACCAAAACATCAAACAAGTGCTTACTGAGCATCTAACTGCCACGATCCCATCCTACTAATGTGAAGCTAACAATTAGATGCTAACAAGTACAAAATAATAATGGCCAGTACGTGTTTAGTGCAAAGGTATTGTTCCCTCTGATCACATTACATGTCTTTAGAAATGGAATGTGGCCTTGGGAAGGAGGACACCAGCCATCAGCAGGACAGAGTAACCAAGGCAGTGGGAGGTGGCCTCAGAGGGAACTGGTGGAGGACAGGGAGAGCTGCTGGCATGGTGTAAAGCAAGAGGACACAAAAGCAGCTGGAGCATGAATAAGAGGATGTGCCACACAAGACAGCAGAGGTGGTGAAGGGCAGGCTATGTGCACCTTATGGGCACTGGGGTCAAGTTTTATTCCAAGAGCATCATTGGAGGAGCCACCAGTGTGTTCGAACCAAGACCTGCATGGTGTAGCGGCCCCTGATGATCCTCTCTGTCTTCCAGGCTGGGGTACTTAAGCGAGGGAAGCTGAGGAGGCCACAGGACACCTGACCTTGCCAGGAGGCAGGAGAAGGGGACTCTGCCACCACTGGAACTGGCTAAAAGGGTGGGGAGAGCTGGAGAGCAGAGACTCACCCTCAGGCATCCATGTAGCTCTGTGTCTTGGGCTGCCAGGTAATGGAAGCGGAAGGCAGAGGCCGCGTCCAGAGCAGATGTCTGCGTGTCTTCAAAGGACCCCTTCAGGACGAGCTCCAGCTCCAGCTTGTCCCCATCTAGGGAGACAGTGGGCAGGTTGGCAAGAACTCAAGCTCTGACCTGGGAAATTAGCAGTAAATCTGGAAAGAGGTCAGGTAGGCTGGACCATGGTACATTAGATTCTGAAAAGAGCCTTCCCCATATCACCCAGGAGACTCCCACTTCCCGTGTCAAGAGACCCTCCTGCCATTCTTACCTGCTAACCCACAGCAGCTCTCTGCTCCGTCCAGATGGACTTCCAGGCACGACAGCTCCCTGGCCTGGGACGGACCATGGTGGTGACTGTGCAGGGTCAGCTAGGACCACCTCAGCCTTCACTCTGAGAGCCCTTCTGTCCCAAATCCATCACACACAGAACAAGAAGGGGGGCCCAGAATCGGACTGTGTGTAGAACCCTTCACCTCACCTCTAATCTACTGCAGTTGCTCAGCCTTGGTCAATCTGGATCCCCCAGGAGGCCCCATGTCCACTGTCAACCCAGTCATCCTGGCTTTACTGAGCTTCTAGCCGCTCATATAGCTTCACAACTCCAAACAAGAACTCCGAGCTCCTCAGACATGACCAGGCCCCATCAGGAAGCATCTGATACTCCCAACCATCCCTCGGCCATCAAGCCTCAGACCTCCTCTCAACAGAACCCTCTCTTCTTGTGTCCCTTAGCTCTAGCACCACACCCCCAAAGCCCTACACAGCCACAGGTGATCCCTGGCTAGGACACTAGGGTGGTCTCCCCACAAAGCTTTCCCCTGCCTTGTCCCTTGTCTCCTATCTCAGTGCTCCTGCCCCCATCTCTTTGCTCTGGGTCCCTCCCCTAAGAACGGAGAAGAAGGTGTTTACCACAAGGACGTTGTTGGTGATCAGGTTTTCTGGAGGGTCGGATCTAGAAAAATAAAACCACGTGTCTGGTTTGGTGGAGACAGGCCCATCCTACACTGCTCTGCCCCTCATGGCAAGGGTCCTGCCCACCTGCTGCTTCTCTGGGTGATACTGAGGGCTCTTACATCCTGGCTAAAGATCAGTGAGGGGCGCTGTGCAGAATGAAAAGGGGAGACAGCAGGGCAGGGACATTATTGGCCTTTCTCCCTCAGCTGTCCTCAGGGAGCTCCAGACCTCTCTGGCAGGGGTTGATAAGGGACCATGACTCTCAGCTGGGCAAGACAACACAATTCTAGGTCAGGGCCATTTTCCTGAACAAAGCCTGGCTACCTGGTCACGCCCTGGGTTGTGTGACATTACTCATGTATAAATGTGAGTAAACAGGGCATTACTCACATTTCTTCCACCAGAAACTCCACATCCAGCTCTTCCTGTCCCTAAGATCAAAGAGTATGAGCAAGTCATCAACACTTACAGCCGACACATGGTATCGTTTGGGTCAAAAATGTCCAGTATCTCCCTCCCACCATCGTATACTCCCGATGTTCAGATGTGGAGCTGTGGAAGGCGACCGACTCTAACCTCAGCGCTGATGAATCCATTGATGATTTCTTAGCTAAATGTGCTGTGAGGAGGTGAGGCCTGGGTGAGGGAAGTGGGTCACCGGGAGTGTGACCTGGAAGAGCAGATCCAGTCCCCGGCCCCTTCCCTCTCTGACTCTTCCTTGCTCTCTCCCTCTTTCCTGGCTGCCATGAGGTGAGGGCTTTCGTCTGCCCTGAATTTCAACCATGATGTTTCTGCCTTGGATCCAACCAACCACAGGCTGGAACCTCTGACACTGTCAGCCAAAAGAGACCTAAGTTGTATATGTCTTGTCTCAGCAGTGAACATAAGCAGACAGTACCGTTCTTTTATATGCCTTATCATCCCAACTTGTCTTAAGCGGGGATCCATGGTGTTACAGTTATTTCCCATTCACAATGAGGAAACTGAGGAGCGGTCGAGAAGATGATCTGCCCACATTGCTGCAGCTAGCAAGTCTACAGAGAACAGTGCTTCCTCTTTCTGGCTCCCCAAGCCCCGGGCCACGCTGAAGGAGTAGACAAAGGGCTGAGTGAAAGGAGACTGGAGGATGCCGGTCCCCATCTTCTCCTCCTCTCCTCTCCCCAGCACAGAGCAGGCCTGGGGCCCATGAGCAGCAGGGAGAGCCCGCACCCGAGGGATTGTTGTGTCTTAAGGGATGCTCCCTCCACTTCCCAGACTTCCCTCCCGCCATGACTAAGGCTAATGCTCTCAGTGATGTAGTCTGGAGCCTCGTGGGTGAGCTGGCCCCCTTCCTACTAAAACGCAAATCTCTTTGGGAAGCGTCCCAGCTTTCTGATACTGCTTCAGCGAGCAGCATCCCAGGAGGTAGAACAACCGAGTCCTTCCTCAGCCTGGACTGAATGAGGTGGGCCCATAGGGACTTCCCTGCCTACCTGAGGTCCCAAGGAAAAGGTTTTCTGGAGCAGCTTGCCAGGGAGGACTTCTGAGACATCATAGAAAATCCTGAAGCAGATTTCATCCTTTGTAATTAAATCTTCATCATAGATACTCAGCTCCAGAACATTCTAGGGGACAGGAACAGCAACAGTGTATTATCTTTTCATTTTGACCACCACTCATGAATAACTGTGAAATTTAAAAGTATAAAGATCCAACAGCCAGGCATGGTGGTACATGCCCATAATCCCAGCACTTGGGAGTCTGAAGCAGGAGGATCATCATGAGTTCAAGGCCAACCTGAGCTACAAAGTGAGACCCTGCCCCCCAAAACAAAACAAACAAAAAAATCCCCACCAACCCCCACCTCCCCAAAGAAAGAAAAGAAGTCCAACTAAGTCCCTAATTTCCTCCTCTTGACGTTTTTTTTTTTTTTTTGAGACTATGTAGTTCATGCCAGCCTAGACTTAGTAAGTAGCCCAGGCTCACTTGAAACTCACAGTGATCCTCCTGCCTCAGCCTCCCAAGTGCTGGGATTATAGGTGTGTGCCACCACACCCGGCTCTTGATTTTTATTTTTATCAAAAATAGAGTTCTACTGAAAAAGACTGCCCAGCTTTACTGGTTTCCTAAAGCATACTCCAAGGGAGGTGTGGGATACTATGGTGGCAGCCTTTTGTGATTATAGTGCACTCTTCAACCGCACAGCACTGCCCTCAAAAGGGGGCACCTACTGTGTCCACAGCACAGATGGGTTTAGAAAGGAGCAGTAGCTTCTGGAGATCACACATTCTCCCACACACAGCATGCACAGGCTGGAGTATAACTTGTCCTGAGTGCTGATAGTCCTGGAGGAAGCCCTGCATCCCAAGACCTTGAGGGGTGGGCGTGGCTATCTGAAAGCAGCCAATGGTGCCCCAGCCTTTACCTTGACCTGACTCTGGATGAGGAATCTGAAGGTCTCATTCCATACAGGATGACTGGAGTTGGAGACCGTTTTGGTCCTGAACTTCGTTCCAGGAGCAGTTGGCAGCTGCAGGATCACATATGGATCTGTCTCACTCACTGCCAAAGTCAAGGGACCATCAGAAGGAGCAAACTTATCAGCCTCACCAGAGTCCTACCATGAACAGCCCAGCCCAGCCACAAGACACTTCCAGAGCCTCTCCATTCTTTTGCATCCTCTGGCACCCAGGGACAGCTACTTACACACATCAGCCCTGTGCAGTCTCCGCGCCTCCAGGACCCGCACAGTGAGCTGCCAACAGGCAGAGGGCTCCCCCTGGATAGAAATAGCACACTGCTAAGTTCTGCCACCCACATCTGGAGCTGCTGTGTAGCTCACATCCATGGGGGTGGACACACTCTACATCTCCAGGCTGCCAGCTCTGCTGGGGACCAAGTAATCTTTGTGTACCACTGTCCTTGGGATCATGGTTCAGGCTGCAGCAGGAAATGGCAGATCGGCTGGGGGCAGAGTTGTGGAATCCTCTTCCTTTCATGTGAGAATAGAGAGAAAGGACTAATGCTCCCCAACCTTACAGAGATAATCCCTGCCACTCTGGGCACCCCGTGGTCGCTCTGGAAGACATCTGCTATAGCTGCAGCAAGCTCTGAATGTGAACCCATCACAGATAACTCTGCCCTGCAGCATTTCTGGATGGTTCCGTTCCTCAACCCCCTCCTGAGTTAGATCTATGAGACGGGAACCCCTCCCCTACCCATGAGCTTGTGAGTCTGACAATGTGCGTGTGTAAGCCTGCCTTTTATCCTGCATAACTTACCTCACTATACCCTTAAAGGATCAGCCCATGCACGGCAGCAGGAGTCCTAATAAAGTCTCTCCCTTATTCTGCAGCATGAGTCTCTCTTGGGTGGCATTTTGTTTTGCCTAGTCATGATTTTGTCTTGGTCACAGCATGCTGAACTGCTACAGTAAGAGCTGATAACACTAAAGACTATTGGTGCCCAAAGCAGGCAGCAGCCAGGGCAGGCAACACTGCTATAAATCCTGTGCTATTTACCACCCTGGGGCTTTCCTTCTTTGTAACAGCACAAATTTCTCCCAGTGCCCTCTGGGAATTTAGATGCTAGAATCTTGTAGACTCTTCTTTGACTAATATGCCTGCCAAGCTAACACATTAGCCAACACAGTTCCTCTCTGAGAGGGCTCTTTCCCCTGTCAAAGGACCCTCCTATCTGGATTATCAAGTGCTTCTCAAGGGGTGCTCCAGCCTCACCGCCTGCAGATCCTGGGCATGCCCTGGTGAAGGTCTCAGTCACTCTGCCCACTGCACAGGGATCCTGGGGCTCTGCCATTTTCCTCCTGTGCAGGAGCCCAGGGCCTGTGTTTGCCAGGGAATTTTTGTGAACAGCTTAGTGCTGTTCCCTGACCATGGAAGAGCTGAGCTCACAGACTGGGGTTCAGATTATCTGTGACCATTACCCTGGTCTTTGGTGAGAGGAGAAAAGGAGCAACCTCCTCCCTCCCCCCATCCCTTGCTGGCCCCCAGCTACTGTGGTGACCGTGTGGGCAAGGCTGAGAGGGGAGGACAGATACTATGGACAGGGCTTTGGACCCTGTAGCTTCCTGGGTTGGGCTGAGCTGCTGCCCGTGGACTGCACAGAGGCGCATCCCAGAGCCAGTCCTGGATGACCAGGCTGCCCTGCCAGCCAAGCTCCTGCCATTGCATGGGCTGCAGGCACCCATTCCAACAGAAGAGAGGTGCTGAAGCTGCTGCCTCATCACAGGACCAGACTTGAAGGCTGGGGGTCGAGGACCTGGGTTTAGGACCTGTGCTAGGAACACAGCCAGAAGCGAGGGCTTTCCAGGTATGAGGCAGACTCAGACTTTTATTTCACCACTGAGGCTGGACCCAGAGCAGACAGAGGAGGAAAGGTGCATAGGCTTTTTGAGGGAGATGGACTTTGAAGAGAGATATTCCAGAAACCTCAAAGCTGGCTATTCTGGGATGAGGCACTCCTGATGGGAGGTGGTGATGGGGCTGAGGCTGGCTGGCCACTCTGTTACCCTTCAGCCTCAGTTTCCCCCAGAACCTCACTAGAATGTTTCCACTCATGGATGATTTAGGGGTAGGTCCTCCTGACCTCAGGTTGAGGCAAGAGCCATTGTTTTTTTATGGGGAAGGGCTCTCCAGGTTCATTGGGGTATAGTCTGCTCTGACCACATCTTTTCCAGGAGCTCCATTCTGAGCTACTTGTCTGACTGTAGCTCAAGCCTGGATCCAGGACCAAGACAAGAAGAAGCCTATTGTGGGCTCTGAATGAAGCAAAGAATCTTGGGCAGTGACCGTGGTATACTTGACTTGCTCATGGCCACCATCTGGAGCATCAGGGGACATCTGAGGAGCTAGTCCTATTGGCCTTAGCCCCTGGCAGATGATAAGGAGTTCGTTAGAGCCAAGAGGAAGTGTGTGGCAGATAGGTGAGCAGTCTACAAGCTCCTTATGCAGCCTCCTAACTCTTAGACCCCGTAAATAATTGGCAGTGGAGGCAATTGGGGTTCCCTGAGATCCTGAGCACATGGGGCGATTCTGGTGCTCAGGCCAGATCCAGGAAGCCCACTACTTGTGGCAGTGGGCTTTGTACCTGGTGAGTTTCCACTGAGAGATGAGACTTTAGGGAAATGAAAAGGTTTCTAGAGACTACTGCCTGGACTCTTACGGTAAAGAAGGAAGGATCTGCCAACCAAGCTCTGAACTGCAGGCCCATGCTTCTGTGGGTATTGTTCCATCTCCCCCACCCCACATTCCCAAGCACAGACACAAGACCTGCCTCCCACCCCATGCAAAGATGCGAACCACCATGATTTCATCTGTGTGAAGCCTCTCAGAATCATTCTGTCCCATGGTCTCAGAAGACACTATTACCTTGGGCAGATGGCTGGGTGGTCCCTCAGGTGACAGGCTTTCCATCCCCATCTTCATGAAGATGCCAGCTTCCTAGCCAGGTGTCGGTCAATGTCTTGATCAACTTCAAATCTATTAGCCTCAGAGGTGCTCGGATTCTATAAACATCTTGGAACTCCACCCCTAGGTTGCTTCTCCTCTTTCTTAACAGGCTGGGTCAACTTGCATCTCCAGAAACCTCTGCCAGGGCCCCAGGGCCCCTGGGTGGAGCACGATTCCAGACCTAAACTGTCAGGATACATGCAACCACGGCAGGCAGACAAATCCAGGAGCAGTGGCAGGAAGTCAATTTCTCTAGGGCTGAGGACAGAAGATGGAGGACCCAGCAGAACTGAGAGCCCTGTGGCCCACTCATGCCAAGCCAGCCCCCAAGAGAGGAGCACCTGACCCAGCAGGAAGTCTGACCTCTTGGTGGCTCCTTGAAGCTAGGAGCTCACTACAGGTGAGAGCAGTGTGTCCTGCTGGCCAGCTGCAAAGGCTTCCAGACACCTCAGATCACAGGCTCCTCACCCCCACCCACCCCACTGCCGTGAGTTCAGCAGATTCTAGAAATCTGAGGACTTCTTTTTTTGTGTTTTGTTTTTGTTTTTTTTTTTATCGGTACCGGGGATCGAACTCATGCCCGCCTGCTTTCAAGGCAGGTTCTTATGCCGCTGAGCTGAATCCCCAGCCCCGGGACTTCTTTTAGAATTGAATGGCAGACTTGGTAATAAAGAAAGACAAAAGAGACCAATCCAAAAACCCTCAGATTATGAATGTTAGAGAAGAAAATCATGTGAAGCCACCAAATTCTTTATTCATTGTGCACAGAGCCTTAAATGCCATCCCATAATGACGCAGATGTCCCTTAATGACACAGAACTAAACCATGATTTGTTTTCTGAACAATAATGTATTTCTGAACAATAATGATTTGTTTTCTGAAGCAAATGAAACTAAATTAATGTCAAATTATTACAAATGAGTGTGAAATGTGTTATTATAGAATCAACCAAAACAGAACATCGAAACTGGTATGAAAACAAGTGAAAATCTAATGAATGGGAAATACTTCTAATTTGCATGCACCAGACATAAGTGAAATATGTAGAAAGCTACAAAGAATAGTGTATTCCAAAGCTAGTCCTAGATGACACAAGGCAGCAAAGTCACTCTGGCCAGGTGTGGTGACACAAGTCTATACTCTTAATCGCAGTACTTTGAAGGCTGAGGCAGGGGGTCACCCCGAGTTTGAGACCAGCCTGGGCTGCATAATGAGGTTGAGGCCTGGTTGAACTACATAGCAAGACCCTATCTCCACAAAATAAGGAAAGAAAAGCCACCCAGTGCTTCACAGTTAGACTCTCGTGGTTATGAGTGTCTCACAGAGATGGCAGATGCTGTGAGCAGGAGGTTGCACACAGGGAGTAGGTCCAGGAGGGTCAAGATCAGCATAAGGGGACAGGCAGGTGGGCAGAGACCTGCAGGGGCTTGCCTGACCAGAGGGCTCCTTGCAGGGAGCACCCCTGTAAGGTCCATCAGAGCTGACCTGACCCACACTGCCAAGCTGAAGGTCTTCCCATCGCTTCCCTTCCTTCACCTTCTTTTCTCAAAGTTTGCTCTATGCTCACAGTAAATGAACATGTAGTTTTTACTCAGCATTCAGTTTCTTGAAGTTCCCCAAATTTTCTTTAGGCAACCAGCCCATCCCTGTGCTGTGCCCCCATGGGTTAGTGGGTGTTGCATCTACCTCCAGTTTTAAGAATGCATCAGGTGCCTCAATCCTGGCTCATCAGCTCCCGGAATCACTGATCATGGTGTGTGGTTCGCTAGACTCACTACTCACATTAGTGTAATCAAGGTAAATCCTGGTGTGTGAAGTTCTGGAAGAGACACGTTGTTTTTCTGGTTGGACCAGAACCTGGGAGGAAATGAAGCTAAAGTTGCTGAATGTATCACCCACCATAAGAGGAAGAACTACCAGAAAATGGGGCCAATGATAATAGTCAACACTTCTGCCAGGTGGAAGTGGCGTCACTGTGGAGCTGAGCATGCTGCAGCTGGGCCATTCTCTTGTGCATCTCTCCCTCTGGGCTGGTGAGGAACCCTTGCAAGAGGTTGTTGTGGTCATGGTTTTAGTAAAATTTACAAAAGCCCACTATTTTACCCACAGCTGGTTAAGACTGCTGTCTTCCCATTCCTCCACCTCTCTTAGCAATGGATGTTTTTAGATAGGGATAGGGGAGTGGATGTTTCTAGGATCTGGAAGTGAGTTAGAGATAGTTTTAATGTCAGCTGAGTAGGATATGTTTTATGTAGTCTGCAATAAATCTTGATGGGTAGTGAAGTCCTTGAGACCTGAGGTTTAGCAGCAGATTTCGTAAACACTCCTACCACCCACTGTGCTGACTCAATGGCATTGTCACATAAAAAGACAATTGCATTGTGGTGCAGACGTGACCTTCGGTACCAGAAGAATTGGACCGAGGAAGAGAAACAAATTTTGAAATGTAGTCAGAAACCAGCCTGTGGAAAATTCATCCAGACATATAAAATTGTGCTTGGAAGGTTTAGTTTTCACTGGTGCCTGATCAAAACAGAAATTCTTTTTTTTTTTTTTTTTGCCTTTTTCCTTTTATCGGTACCAGGGATCGAACTCACGACTGCCTGCTTGCAAGGCAGGCGCTTATGCCACTGAGCTAAATCCCCAGCCCCTCAGAAATTCTTTATAAGATAAAAAGAGCCAAAGGAGAGCCATTACCTAGCATATGTCAGGCCCTGGGTTTGATTTCTCTGCACCAGAAACAAAACAAAATGGAAATCAGAATGTCTATCCTGAGAATAATGGTTTCAATTATACCCTGAATGCATTTTTTCCTTTATTGAGGGAATTTCACTTATCAACTGGGCATTGGTGGTGCATACCTGTAATCCAAGCAGTCTGGGAGACTGAGAGAGGAGGATTGCAAAATCCAGTCCAATTTGGGCAATTTAGCAATTTCAGCAAAACCTTGTCTCAAATTTAAAAGAAAAAACACTGAGGCTGGGGACTTAGCTCAGCGGTATAAGCACCTGCCTGGCAAACCTGACTTGAGGTCATGAGTCCATGAGTTCGATCCCCAGTACCAAAAAAAGAAAAAGAAAAAAAGACTAAGGATGTAACTCAGTGCAAAGATCCTAGGTTTAATCCCCAGTAACAGAGAGAGAGAGAGAGAGTGAGAGAGAGAATTTATCATAGGTCCTATGCTGGAAGTAGCTAGCATACCTAAAAAACGTACAAATAAAAAAAACTTGCTAGAAGTAATGACAAATATTATTTTCCAAAAATGGTTGCAGCCACATTAGCCTACCTATGAACCTTCTAGAAGCATTTCTCCATCAAGAGGTAGAGGGCAATTCTCAATTTCAATCTGGTGAATTTGTAATGGGCTCACAGTGTACAGGACGTGAGGAAATGATACTACCTGACCCCTGAAGTGAGATTATAAAGGAATGCAACTTTCCTGAAACTTACAAGGGTCCAGCTGGTAGGCCAGCGTGCTGTGAAGCTGCCATGCCATGGGAACAGCCACCAGTCAGAGCTGGAGTCAGCAGTCCTAGCCATTTCACACTTCAAGGGATTCCAGCCGCAACAGTTGTCACCCGTCACCTGTGCCTATTCTGAATTTCTGATTTACAGAATCTGTGAACCTAATTGAGTGGTTGCTATGTGGGGCCCTTTAGGTTTTGGTTGATCTTTTACATAGTCAAGTAAGTAAAACAGAGGTTTTCCCAATTTACTAACAATTCTAAGATGTTACATAATATTACCAATGAAGAGGAAAGAAGCTATCAATAATTAACTATTATTAACTGTCAATAATTAATTTTTTTTTTGTCTTTTGAGACAGAGTCTCACTATGCAGTACAGGCTGGCACTGAATTTACTTTGTAGCCCAAACTGGTCTCGAGCTCACAACAATCCTCCTGCCTCAGCCTCTCAGCTGTTAGGATTACAGGTAAGTTAAAAATTTTGTTCAGCCAAACTAAACGAAAGATAGCTATCTATTTGCACTAAAGACAGTGGTATTATAAAATCGGCATGAATAAAGGTAGCCTTAGACTCAATGCAGCCTAACAGTGAAGGGAGAGAGGAGACAGAAAAGCGAATCTGTCTGCTGATTAGTGCAAATACCACGGTGGGCTTTTTTTTTTTTTTTTTTTTTTTCAGTTTTGTAAAGTTCTGACATTCTTCAACTTTTTAAAAAGTTGTAACTTATGTGATTTCATTATTCTAAATAAATATTCACTTTCATGCCTAATTTGGTAAACTTCAGGCTCCGCAGAATACAGCCCATGTGCCAGGCTATTTAAAGTGTGTTTATATGTAGAGCATCTTTACTCACCTGCCAAGCTCTGTGAACCAGTTACTTTTATTTACCTTTATTTTACAAGTGAGAAAACCAAGGCAGGAATTGGTTGAAGAATCAGCCCCACCATACCCAAAAATCTACCCAAAGACAATGCTTTTACCCATCACCTGCACTGTGATTTCCCCCAGGATGGAGCAGGCAAGAGGGACCACTGGGGAGTCCCCAGATCAAGCCTTGCCTGAAGAGGCAGATGTAGACCTGAGCTTTTCAATTGGGTGCCAGATCCTTCCTACTTACTTTAACTGTAGGAAAGAGAGGCTCAGTGACTCCCCTAGACCAGCACTCAGTGACAGTGTTACGGAGGAACAGCAGCACCTGACAGGGTTGGGAGAGGAAAGGCAGCTAATGCCTGGCTGAGTCTCAATTTCAGGCAAATGCAATGAAGCAGGTAGGTGGGGACCATGTTGCAAGGTGGCATGAGACAGGGATGACACACACCGAAGTGTCCCTCGTCACCGTCCAAGATCGACACACAGGTGGGTCTGTGCACTTGCTCAGAGGAAGTAGTTCCTTCCTGTACTGACAAGTGAGAAAGGACCATTTCCTGTCCAGGAAAGGTTATCCAGCCCTCTCCTCAAGCTCTCCTCTCCTCATTGGAAATGATGAGCTTCTCTC